TTTAAGGAATTAGCAAAATGGCTGCACTTACTAACCTTGGAATAGTCAAGATCCATAAATGACTAAAATCGTGAGCTGAACGTCTTCAACAAGGAATATCCTCATTATTACTTGAGAGTAAAGAATGGGCTTTGGCTATACACCTAACCAGCTTTTCAGCCAAATGCTAGGACAATAACCTATATTGTACCTGCTATTGCTTAACTATTGTTGGCTACTAGCTTTAAAGAGTAAAAACTGTATAAACTGCTGTTGGATTAAATTCCCTTCTACCAAAAATTCAGGTCCCAAACCACTGAAGCTTTACTTTCATCTTTTAAAATATTGGTCTTAATATTCCTGGTGACATACTGCGTAATAAATTAGAGCAAAAGTTTGCAGAATAAGTCACATAAAAATAAAAATTCCTTATATTTTCCTTGAAAATGTCTGACATTGTAATCATTATGAAGTCTGCCTACAACTGTTATGTTCACTTTAAGAATAACAGATTTACTATACTTTGTTTACAAAAATCATACTTTGCTCTGAAGCAGGATGCGCAATTCGACCATTTCATCAGTGTTCCGAGATCTTTTGAAGGCCTGTTCTTCTTCCATGTCTTCTGCAGGACGTTTGCCTGTAGACAGGTCCATAGGGCAGAAATACAAATACTCATTTAACTTTCTAAGTCACGATCAATAATGTATGCACTCCAAAACATATTCAATGCTCCTGCTTAAACTTTCTTTTCAATTAGCCTGATACCAATTTCAAATTCAAATGCTGTCTGTTAAAGACTTGTAACTAAATCCAAGAATTCTATACCCAATAAGATTGCAGATCAATGAATTGTAACCTAGTTTATAAACCTAAGAAATAAATATAGTTCAAATAATTATTTTGGAAGTTGATCACTTTCAGTCATTGAATGCAAATGTTTATTAGTGATAAAAATTGTGTCCCATGACTAAAATAATTTCCAATGAAGGGTTTCAAATACTATCTTAAAACTACTAGTATCAATAATGATGAGAATTGAATTAGTTGTAAAATTCAAAATTAACAGCTTTTTTTGGATGTTAAGAGTACCTGAGCAAACCAATGCAAAGACAGTAAGCCATGCTAAATAAATAAATGCTACAACAATAATGTTCAGTAGTATTTGTTTTTGATGAGTATAAATACCAGCTAAGTACTGAGGCTTCAATTATCAAATATATTAAAATAGTTGAATTATGCTTTTTTTTAGCTGTATGAGCATATAACTTACCTAAATGAAAATATATAGCATCCATTTACAACAGAAATATTGATGCAACTCCAAATTAGGATTCAAATGCACCAATACTAGCAAAAACTTCAAAAATTATGTTATCTATGCACATGAAACTTAACTACCCAATGCTGTGAATGAATTCCAAGTCATCCCTAAGTTATAAAGAATAACTAATGAAATAAAGTATTGTAGCCACTATAACACAAATACAACCCTTTATAAAATTTACCATTTGTCTCTGTGTTGGTGAAGGTCTCCTCTTGCTGTTCAGTCTCCATTACTTTTTATTCTTTGATTGGTAGATACAACCTGCCAAAGAATAATAAGGATAGTACATCTACTTTATGAAAATACAACCCGTGCATCTTGCTAAAAGGAACAAGCAAAGAGACTACGGCTTCTAGAACTTACCAGTATTATATATCCTTGCAGAGCAAAACTGAAGTGTTCTGGGCGGGATCAAAAACCAACAGCCTATTGCTTCAGTAGCCTATTAAAACCAACATACATCAGTTTGGTTTTGTTCATTTATGGCTCTGATATTTCACTACATTAGAAAATGTGGATTTGAATAACAGTACATCCAAGTTCCAGGGGCTGGATTGGGCTTTTGTTGTGAAGACTGTCACATAAGTTCTAGTTTAGACACGAAACACCTGATTAGATCTAAACAAAAACTAAAGTCACAAACTTCTAGTTACAACAAACCTGTTTGTCAGTTGTTCAAATTTTTCAAATTATACCTAAAAGTTCTGATTTAACAAATGACAACTTTGAATTCCAAAATGACATGCTACAAATCTCTATCACAATATACAAAGTGACACTAATTTCAGAGTTTTGCACACCTTCAATGGGGGCATCTGCCTATTTCTTGGCATTTGTCTAGTTCTAACTAGATGGACTAAGGAAATACAATTACATAAGCTACTGACATTCATGTTTATATTTTAATAGATGAACAAATGGGCTTTCTTTGTAACATTACCTACCATTAGGCAGAGACAGGAAAATAAGAAAACTGCACTGCAGTTCAGTGCAGTGCCTTATGTATATGAGCAACATATACTGAACATTAAAATCAGCTGTACCCTTTCAACTGTAAGCAATATGCACTCTCTCCATGGTCAGCACTTCTTAAGTATCTATTTGAATACTCAAACATACCCTAATTTGCCTGAAATGCCACTGAAATAAAGAGACTGACTCAGCATCCTCCTTAAATGTACCCTATCCTAACTTCAAGGAGCATAAAACGCTTCTAATGCAACTGTCCCCCCATTTCCTGTCCTCCTTATTTTCTGCCTCAAGTTTCTGGAGGTTTAGCCTCCAGCAACAGCTCCCGGTGGCTGGCACTCCGCCATTTAGCCGCAGCCCAGCTAACTGGAGGGGACGCGTTATTAGCATAACCGGAATACACCAACTTCTTCACCTCGGACTAACTGCCAGCCGACACGTTTGCATAGACTAGGGAAGACACAGGCACCCGGCCGCACGACGGAAGGCCGTTCCCCACCACCCCGGGCCTGCCGCAGCGGTGCCCACTCACAGCCCTCCCCTCGGGCACCCAGATCGTCCCGTCCTCCGCCTCCCCGCAAGCATCCGACGGTGGCGCGCCCAGGAGCCTGCTGGTCCCAAAGCCGGCGGGGACTGCACGAGCGGAGTTCCCTCGCCCGGCCTCGCGAGCGCCCCCGCCCCGGGCCTGCCCGGCGGCGGAGGAGAAATGGCGGCAGCTGCAATGGCGGCCGCCCGCT